CCAGCCGAAACTGAAAAACAAAAATGAATATATCGCAAAAACGCCTGTTTATGTCCAACAATAGTGCTTTTTGACAACAAAGTTAGAAAAAACAATCTTTACTTTCCAGATAACAGTAAAAATTCGCCATTGCAGTTACATCAGGGCTAGAAGTACAAGAACTGTTTGTGTCGGAAAACTTACTTTTTATATTATATATAGTCAGTTAAAATATATGGGTGTGTGTTGGGAAAAAATATAGCTGAAAAAAATTGGTCTCGTAGATTAATTTACTCTAATCCTGCCTAAAAGAATTTCAAGTGCCGTGGCTATTGAGGATTTCCTCTTGTTTTAAGTGACATGTAAGTGCAGTGGTAGCTTCGATTCCTATAGCTAACGTGATAATAGTATTGTCAGTTTGGTGTTCTAAATTAACCAAGTATTTGTTTTATCAGTTTTTACCGGCAAATATGGGTAACGTAAGGTAACCAGATTTCCAGAGTGGAAACCTTGGACTTTTTTTACATTAAGAGTGACACTGTAATAACTCTGAAACAGTTTAACTTACAATAACACATATTTCAACATTTGCAAAATAATATGATGTTTATTGCATCGCGTTTTAAATCCATAAGCTTTTAACAAGTTTTGTCTATCAAGTTAAGATCACAAGTAAGTAAACTAAAATAAAAATACGCCTATTTTTTTTTCTGCTGGGGTTGTCTACAAATCTCAATTTCTGCGGTTGCGCAGTGACAGGTTAGATCAAGAAAATGTAACAGAGATGAAGGAGACACTGTTCCGAGTGATCTTTGTTATATAATTCTCCATGTAAAACTTACAAGATAATGATAAATCGTACATATAAAATTCACATTTAGATACAGAGAACCGGGAACAATTTAATTTTTATTTTATGTTTCTGATCGGGACGAAAACACAAACATAAGTTTTACTGGGACGTCTGGTAACCCTAAGTTAAGGTAATCTTCGTCATTCTTAGTGTAACGAAACTTGGATAGCTAGTTTATGTTACACTGTGTCTCAAGGTTTACTTTTTACTGATAGTCTGATTCAGGGGTGTGTGCATAATTATCTGCGATTATAGTGGGGCTTAGCTATACTGAATGGCGTGTTAAGTGAGAAACAGTTTTATTTTCTCGTTGTTACATATGCTTCCATATAGAAGTAAATCAATGAATTCATAGTGTCACTGAAACTTAGTCCTACTAGTTTTAGTAGCAGTAGTTTAAGCTTGTTAAGAGGTTGAGTTATACCTCATACAATTGTAGGTTAGGTAGCGTAACAGTTTTTACATATGGTGTAACTGTACACTGAGTGATCACAAGTGAATAAACACCTAATTTTTCGTCATTTAACTGATTTATGCTAACTAATTTGTGTTCACAGAGCACTATATAAATGAAAATGATCCGCACACTAATTATCTTGTGCTACAACATGCCTAGAACTCAAGGTTCTCTCGAATTGTCAGATTTTGTTAAAGGAAGGATAGTTGGTCAAGTAGATGGTGGAATAAGTCAGTGGCGAATTTCGCAGAATTTGG